CCAAACCACTGTCCCTCCTCTGGACATGTCCAAACCACTGTCCCTCCCCTGGACATGTACAAACCACTATCCCTCCTGTGGATATGTCAAAAACACCGTCCCTCCTCTGGATATGTCCAAACCAATGTCCCTCCACTGGACATGTGCAAACCACTGTCCCTCCACTGGACATGTCCAAACCACTGTCCCTATTCTGGACATGTCCAAACCACTGTCCCTTCTATGGATATGTCCAAACCACTGTCCATCCACTGGACATGTCTAAACCATTGTCCCTTCTCTGGACATGTCCACACCACTGTTCCTCCACTGGACAAGTCCAAAACACTGTCCCTCCTCTGGACATATCCAAACCACTGTCCGTCCTCTGGACATATCCAAACCACTGTCCCTTCTCTGGAAATATCCACACCACTGTCCCTCCTGTGGACATGTCCAAACCACTGTCCCTCCACTGGACATGTCCAAACCACTGTCCCTCCTGTGGACATATCCAAACCACTGTCCCTTCTCTGGAAATGTCCACACCACTGTCCCTCCTGTGGACATGTCCAAACCACTGTACCTCATCTGTACATGTCCAAACCACTGTCCCTCCTGTGGACATGTCCAAACCACTGCCCCTCCACTTGACATGTGCAAACCACTGTCCCTCCTGTGGACATGTCCAAAACACTGTCCCTTTTCTGGACATGTGCAAACCACTTTTCCTCCTGTGGATATGTCCAAACCACTGTCCCTTCTCTGGACATGTCCAAGCCACTGTCCCTCCTGTGGATATGTCCAAACCACTGTCCCTCCTCTGGACATGTCCAAACCACTGTCCCTCCGCTGGACATGTCAATACCACTGTCCCTCCTCTGGACATGTCTAAACCACTGTCCCTCCTCTGGACATGTCCAAACCACTGTCCCTCCTCTGGACATGTCCAAACCACTGTCCCACCACTGGACATGTCCAAACCACTGTCCCTCCTCTTGACATCTCCAAACCAATGTCCCTTCTTTGGACATGTCCACACCACTGTCCCTCCTGTGGACATGTCCAAACCACTGTCCCTCCACTGGACATGTGCAAACCACTGTCCCTCCTGTGGACATATCCAAACCACTGTCCCTTTTTTGGACATGTGCAAACCACTATTCCTCCTGTGGATATGTCCAAACCACTGTCCCTTCTCTGGACATGTCCAAACCACTGTCCCTCCTCTGGACATCTCCAAACCACTGTCCCACCACTGGACATGTCCAAACCACTGTCCCTCCTCTGGACATCTCCAAACCAATTTCCCTTCTCTGGACATGTCCACACCACTGTCCCTCCTGTGGACATGTCCAAACCACTGTCCCTCCACTGGACATGTGCAAACCACTGTCCCTCCTGTGGACATATCCAAACCACTGTCCCTTTTCTGGACATGTGCAAACCACTATTCCTCCTGTGGATATGTCCAAACCACTGTCCCTTCTCTGGACATGTCCAAACCACTGTCCCTTCTCTGGACATGTCCAAACCACTGTACCTTCTCTGGACATGTCCACACTACTGTCCCTCCTGTGTACATGTCCAAACCACTGTCCCTCCACTGGACATGTCCAAACCACCGTCCCTTTTCTGGACATGTCCAAACCATTGTCCCTCCTGTGAATATG